GAGATTGCATTGTGCATTTTAAAGAAGTATATAATTCTATTACTCTAAACAACGTACTAATACATTTAATTATATACCTAATGATTAGAATTGTTACCGGTATTTTACCAAATATTGAAATTCTATTGTGCATTTCGTAATTGTGGATGTGTCAACTTTATAAATATTTGTAAAAAAAGCTAATGAGGGACTTAAGGTCCGAAATGCATACATTTTTAAGAAAATAAATTGATTTTTGAAGGCTGATCTTATGTCTAGTGACGGTGTAATAAGTCTAGGAATAAAGAGGCCAACATAGTGCTCACAAGTATATATTTTATCATTCCTTTCGCCCCGTGTTAATATGTTGTTATATCACTCCCGATAGGCACTCCCCTTGGCAGAAAGAAAAACTTCTTTTATGCATTGTTGTGCTTTTTCAATCTTCTTTGTGTTTTTACAGATTTTGGAGAATATACATATACACAGAACAACAGATTTCTATATTTGAATTATCGTAGGTGAAAAACCGATGTTGAATGAAAGCATATGGCAAGTTGTTTAATCTGTAAGCTTGACAAGGGAAAACCTTAGAAAACCTGGTCTGATTTTTGTTCAGAATTGAAGAAAACTAACTATATATTTCTTCAGCTGTGTAAAAAGTTCTTTTGAATAAAACTTTCCAAACTGGGTAGGATGTCTGGTTAATGCTAATTTAATCTACAGCGATATTTCGAGAATATTAAAAGGTACTACAGTATATTTATTAAACAATGGGTTTTTAATAATTGTTAATGTGTTAATTTTATTATGACTTTTAAATTTTTTCATTTAACATAAATGATAGCTTGAATTCAAAGGGTATTTGCTATATTCTAGTTGCACACGAAGTGCTTTCTGTTGGTAAAATCTCAAATAATTTGGCATACACGGCAGTCATTTTTCTTGTATTCCAAAAGCTTACAATTGGAGTAGAAGTAATTTGGAGTAGAAGTAATCGAGTTCCTAGAAGTAACCAAAATGCAAAAACTAACTGGAGAAATAGAGAAGAATGCACAGAAAGATAACACAATTCTTCAAAAGAATCCGGAACTTTCGTTTCAAGACATTGGAAATTCTTTCCAGTGAATTTGTTGATTATAAAATTGTTTTTCAACCTTTGAAAATAGCTTGTCTGAGGTTGTGTATTCTGACACCATGTGATGTAGAAAAATATTCCTTTGAGAACATGAATTTGAAACAACATTGAATTTCAATAGAGTTTGCTTTCAACGTTAGACATATTCTTTAATTTCAGGTAGTATGTTTATTATTTTCCAGTAAAAGATTTTTGCAATACCTTACTACTTCCTCGATGTGGCAATTAAAAACATAAAATATTTGCACGTGATGTATTTGTAGACCACCACATCACGTGATAATAAAAATAGTGTACTTTGAAAATGGTCACGCATTACATTGAGGAAATTCCAATTATAAACACTCTGACTCACGAAAAACTTTCCGGAACACAACACAATAACTATATTTAATTGTATTAACTTATTTCATCGTATAACAAATATAACAACTACTGTATTTACTTATATTTTAATTATATATTTAAATATTTCTTGTAAAAATAACTTTATCAATTTTAATTGTTTTAATGATATTTTATTCGAATTTTTCTGTTTGATGGGATGCTATAAAACAACATATAGACACTCTGCTAAAAGGGATTTTTCCCAAGAGGACTTTTTATGGGAAACTGACCCCTCTTTAGGTGAAGAAAACCCAGAAAATTCCACTTGTCCAGCCTGTTGGTTAGGTGCGAGCCCTCGACCAATATTACTTTCATTCACTCGACCACTGGTGGGCTTAGTCAAATTGAGTTTAAATTCTTAGAAGAGAGTTCAAGAGTTCACTGATACTATAAACTTTTTATGAATGTTTAATTGCTTATCAATAGGGAAAAAATATGCAGAATTAATAATTTATATATGACATCTTTTAAAAAGTTTATCTTATTAACATTAAAATTACTTTAAAATAGTTATTGTAATAAAGGAAAAGTTTCATATTAATATTTAAAATTGAAGATAAAAAATAAGATAGAGTTTAATTTATATTATTTATTTATAATATCAAAGAGAAGTTTTTTTCATATTATAATATTTAAATTACTTTTCAGGTGAAGTTTCTATAATACAGATCATAAATAGATATTAAAGAATCAATGGCCTTTCATTTTTATAAACAATCAAACCTTTTAAGAACGGCCATTAACGGGAACATTAAAATAGCCGTTGTTTAGATGTTATCTGTATGCAGTTTTGTTAAAAATGGCCGCTGTTTAGAGGTGGCCGTTGTTAAAAGGTGGCCGTTGTTAAAAGGTGGTCACAATAGGAAATTCGATTATATTTTAAAAGACATTCGAAAACTTTTTAACTTATTCTTAGCTTTATTACAATTAAAATATGAATTTACGCGCATTTAAAATTCATTTAAAGTTCTATAAAAAAAAAATAAATAAATATTGTTTAAAGGGTCATCGACCTTTGTTTGCGTGTTATATTTGGTTGGCCTTTTAAAGTTACTTTTGATTTTTTGTTTTTTATTTAATCAATAACCATTAGCGTCCGTTAAATTGTTTTTGCGTGTTGTAAATTCGTTCAGTCACCACTTCCGAAAGCATCGAATGTTCGCACTTGACTCGTGTTTGGATCGATTCAGAAATTTGTAATTGTACTTTTAAAAAATACGGCTATAGAATTACTTTTAAATACTGTAAGAATAATAATTATTGGTAATGCATTCTGAAACTGCAGCTTTCAGTTAGCGTAAATAATAAAAATCGTTGCACGAATGAAGTACAAGTAGCCTACATTAATACAGCGCTTACTTCCGCATTTTTATACTTTAGATACAAAAAAAACGAAACTATAAATGCGAATTTCTTACATTTGATGATAATTTTTATGACTTTTATACGTTTATTTGTTATTATATATTATATTATATTATATGTATGACTTTATTAAATTTTTATATACTTCTATAAATTTGTGTGGAGTTTTATTATTTATATTTTAAATTTATATGACTATTTGCATAAATAATGGATACAAATGAAAACTGATGGATAATTTTATGAAATAATATAAAGAAATTAATAAAATTTTAAGTATAACATTAAAAAATTTCTTTTATTCATAATTAAATAAATAATTGAATAGATTTTGCATTTAATTGAAAGGAACGAGTACTAAAAACTAAACTGGAATTGTTTGTGATGATGAATAAATAATTAATTGAGTACATCATACAGTCAAATCTCCTTTATACGTTTCTCAGTTGTACGTTTTGCATTTTCTGCACCATAATCTTTCTATCGTAAAATACTTTCATTTATACAGTCATATTTTTCGGTAGTATACAGGAATTTTTTCACTTAGACCTAAACGATATTAACTTTGAAATAAAATATTTAAAATGTATTTAAAAAGAAAAAAATGAAAAAGTGAATTATATGTTCACTTCAGTTTAGAGTTCACACTATCAGTAAATAATACGTAATATGTGACTTCATTTTCGACGAGGTTTCCAGTTTAGTAAATCGCTCAGCCAATCCAACACGTTGTAAACTTTCACCTGCCACACTTTATAATGCGAGCCAATAAAAATCGCTTTCCAGTTTCTCATTCCTTTTCACTATTCGCTGTCAACGTCAGCCAACTTTTAAATGTCTCTTCATTCTTTCACGTAATTAGAGTTTCGGCAGAGGGACACAACTGATATCATATACTGTACAAGTCCATCGAAAGAAAAATACTACTACTACTAATAATAATAATACGAAATTTGTTCAATTTTTTTTAAATCTACATGGCTTAATTTTACTGTTTTACTTTTCCTTTTATATACAGTACATTTTGCTAAGAATTACGAATATAAATTCAGTTGTATAATGTTTAATTTCTTGATTTTTGCAGTATACATTTGCGTGTATTGCTTTAGTTTTGGAGACGAGTATACTGTTTATAAAGGTTGTAACTGAACTCGGTGCCGATATTTTATGGGTAGATTCTAGGGGCACAAATAGATTTAAAATCTTCTATAAATGTTTTTTTTAATCGACTTCGTTTTCGAGATATGGTCTGCCAGAAAGGAACTTTTTAAATTTCTAGCCAAAGTACTAATACTAGAATTGTCAACTTTTTAAATAATTTTAATGTGTTTTATGCATCTGTCAACTGAATGAGGTAAGTAAATCTGCCGTGGTAGGCCCTTTATAATAAATGTATACAGTCCATTGACCTTATAAGCTTTAATACTTTGCAATATCCATTGGCTTTATAGCAAAAAAAAAAAAAACAATTGAAAAGAGAAGAGTTTTTCAATATAAATTTACTTTGAATAACTTTTCATTTTTACGGAAATAAATAGAATAATTTAATTCACAAGAATTGCTCAAAATGTCTTCCGGAAACGCGGAAGTTTGCTCGAAAACGAAGTGGATTACGAAAAACCTTTATAGAGGATTTGTCTTTTGTCTTATTATTNTCGTGTTTTAATGTTTAATATTACATTTTAAGTAATAGTTTATTTATAAATGTGTTGCACGTAACGTAATAAATAATATTAAAATATAATAAATTTAGCTTATTTTTTCTAATAAAAAAATAGTCGAATATTAATAGAAATTTACGTAAAATTGATTGCAAGTACAAATGATTTTTAATATATTAAAACGCCTATTTATATCAATATCATACATCTAAACTTATGACGTTAAGAAGCGGAGAATTTACCAATTCACTTATCTAAATTTCCCAGAGGTGTTCTTATGTGTTTCAAATTCCAAGAGAACTGATATAAAGCATTGTAAAACGCGTACGGAATTTATAATTTCACTTCGTTTAAACGTTTTCTAACATTAAATATTAGTAATTTTACTGTAATTTGTCATAGTATTTTACCTTTGAAGCCACGCCGAAATTATTCTTGTAATAAATGATTATTCATAAAATAGAAATGTAGACTAATTTCTAATAAAACTCTATTATTAATTTTTTCATAGTGCAATGCGTATATTTATGCAACACGCCATGGAACAGGTATTAAAGTACCTAGCAATATACAGGTAATAATTACGAAAGAGAAACAAAACGTTAAATGGCATAAATATTCTCGATTCTGATTTAAACGTTGAAAAAAATTCTCTATTCTTCTACGGGTATTAACGCATTCGTTTTGAAATTGACGAATCAATATCGGAGATTCGGAATTTTTTATTTCTTCAGCATTATCGTTGCTTAAATTTTGGTCCTGCTGCTGATAAATAGAATCTGCTGTCTCTTGTATTATGATGGAAGGTGATTGTCTGCTCGAAATGTTACTCAAAGGATTTCCTTCTTCGGATATCCACAATGTTGTTTCATTAAGTAAGGGCTTTGAGCTCATATCGTTTGCTCTATTATTATTTTCTATTTCTTTATTTGAAGCATTTCCTTCAGCAACTTCGTTGAAAATATCTGTTGCCATTTTTCGATGGAACCAAAGAGATAAATCCGTAGAATTTGAAGTAATTTCATTCCTTTTTTCTGAATTAGCTTGATTTATTGATATATTTTTCTTAATTTCTTCCGAGTTTGTTCCAACTTCATTTTCGTCGGTTAACCATGACACTTCTTCAAAACTGACAGAGGATGATTTTCCTTGAATCTTATTTTCATTAATTATTATTCTGTTTGAGAATTTAGGCATTTTAAAATAATTTTTATTGTTCAATAAATTATTTTGGGAATTTACTTCACCGTTGTATTTTAATTTCAAAGAATCTAATTCGTTTATAGTATTATTATCTCGTAACGAATTGCTTGATCCTTGACCTGATGTTTCAAAAAACGAGTATTCTTTATCCGGTAAAGGTATAATAAATTTAGCCTTTTTATTTAATTTTATAAAATTTTTGTTCACATTTTGTTGCCTATTTTTAGATCTTGAACTTCGTTCTTCCAAAGATGCTTGAAGGTCATCTCGGTGGATTTGCAGCTATAAATACATAAGCAATATAAGATTTGTTTATAGATATGATGATATTTTAATATAAAAAATAAATTTATTGTCAAAGCCAATGGAAAAAACTTACTTGTCTACTTCTTTTCAATTTCTGACGTTCAGAATTTAATGCGTTATGCAAATTTTTATTTTCGTCTTTCAAAGTTTTAATTTCATTTAAAAGATTATAATTTTCCACTACTGCCGACTCTTTTTTATCGTTAATTACTTCAATTTTCTTATCTACTTGTTGCTGTAAAACTCGGATTTTAAAGTGCATCTCTCGACGAAGGTTCAAATACTGTTTCTGAATCTCTGAAATGTTCTTCTCTTTTAACTCGGATATTTGTTGAGTCAGAATTCTTTGTTGTTCGTTAACTTCTTGTTGATAATTTTTAAATTCTTCATACATACGCTCCATCTATATTGAAATTTCTTACAATGTTAATTGTATTAATTATAATTATTCTTTTATTTCGAGAAGAAACATAACTTGCCTCTCGAGATAATTGTGTATTAGCATTTCCTATTTCAGCTTGCTTTCGCAAAACGTTGCTTAATTTTAATCTAAGTGTCCTGATACTTAAATTCTTATCTTTATCTCTTATTCTAGAATATTGTGCAGAAGGTCTATATCTACGTTGTACAGGATAAAATTCTCTACTTCGGCATTGGATAGATCTATCTCTGTAAAATTTTTTAATACAAAAAAATGAGAACTATATATTAAAGGACATTCTCAAACACCTTATCAGCATACATGCTTGATAAGCAATTTAGACCATCTTCAGATCCTTTCCCATTAAGATATAATACAATATTGATCGGGTATATGTAAATAATCTAATAAATCTCATAAATTGTAAATATGAAGGATTAAATATTTTAAAATTAATATCGAAAGACCTTAAATCCGGTAAAAATAGGACGTTTTCGACATGTAAAACGTTCATTCCGTTAACAAAAGTTCTATTTTTACTGTGTGTAAGGTTTTTTTATATTAATTTTAATTAATACATCCAGTTTTTGGAGGTTTTTTTTTATTTTTATTTGATTATATATTCTTTTCTAACGATATAAAACCTGAATATTAATTCTATATGCTAGAAAAGTGTTGATTTTCTATAGAGTTTTATCCAGTTAATCAATTACTAAGATATGTAAAAGAAAAAAAGAAGTCATACCTTTGAACTTCATAAAAATTACTGAAAGTGACAGTTCTGTCATCATTATTTTGAACGTTATTACCCGAAGTAAGGAAGGGTGGCCAAATAATTTGAGCTTCCGCAGTGTTTACAACAGGCTGTTTAGAAGTTGATGCAACACAGAAGAGATTCATTCTATTTTCCGATTTTTGTGAAGAGGATATCGAATCTATACTACGTGTCTCTAATACTTTATTAGTAGCAGAGTTTTCTACTTCCGTTTTAGAGTCAATATTTTTATTTTCTTCATTAGATTTCCCAATCAATTTCCCCGAGTTCTGTACTGCCTCAAACTCTTCGTCTTCCATTTCTAACTCTTCTATTACTGTTAGATTATCTTCTTCGCTATCAGAACTAGAAAAATTTAAATTTTCGTAAGGAATTTTAGACATTTTATAAGTAAAAATATAATTATAAATAAATTTACGTAAATGATTCCACAGAAATGAATTTGTTTTCTTCGAATATTTTTTAACTTTGCGACCAAACTGAATAAATTCGAATTCTCGCACGAGAAAAGAACAAAAATTTGATTATAAATTTCTGTGTTTATGATATTCGATTAAACTAATATTTTTTAAATATTTTGATGACTTTTTAAGTCATTAATTGGCCTTAGTTTAAAAATTGTAGGCGTTTCAAAAAGAAACTTTTTGAAAAAATGGCCACCGTTTACAGGTGACCGTTGTTGGCAGTTCGAAATTTATGTATAAATTACTGTAATTTTTATTCTACAAGCAGATATAAAATCCTTAGTTACTTATTCTTCTGTCTGACATATAACAGTAATACTGCGTTATTATATATCTGTGTGCATCTATGTGAATTTATATACGTTTAAGTGCATTATTTATCTAAAAGCAGGAGTTTTAAATATATAAATGTATATATAAAACTCCTGTTTTTAGATAAATAATGCACACGGATTAAAAAGCAGATGCACTAGAATTATTAATGATCTTTTTTTCTTGTTTTTCTGGTTATTATAATCATATTTTATCTCTCCAAACTGAATTTAATATACATTTTCATTAAAATTATAGGTTATTGTAGTTTCTGGACGAAAATAAATTGTAATCAATAAAAATGTATTTTAAAAAAAATTTTAAATTTCGTGTTTTAATGTTTAATATTACATTTTAAGTAATAGTTTATTTATAAATGTGTTGCACGTAACGTAATAAATAATATTAAAATATAATAAATTTAGCCTTTTTATTTAATTTTATAAAATTTTTGTTCACATTTTGTTGCCTATTTTTAGATCTTGAACTTCGTTCTTCCAAAGATGNGCTCATAGTTCGATAGAGATTGAGTCAGGTATCCTTGTATAGATGGGTCAAGGTTCGTACACCTCGCACGTACAAGAGTCAAACGTTACTTACGTTAATTATGTAATCTCTTGGAAGAGAATTTTATAGTTTAAAAGTTTCGACACATCAACTTATTTAATATATTTTACGTGAAAACTATATTTTCGAAGAAGTATATTACAGAAAAGCATGGATCAGTATCGATAATCTTAATATAAAAATAGGTCAGAAACATAACTTACAATTTGATTATAAGTTATGAATATTTTATTTATCTACAGACCTTCATAAAAACGTTAATCGTGCGCCATTCTTTAATTTTTTAATACACGTTTAATCACATTTAGAAATGTGATTGGAACGATAAATTTCAAAATATAAATACTTTAATTTTTTTTAAATATATTTAATTTTGAGAATATTGAATATATATATTTTTTTATTTTTAATTTTCTAAAATTCTAAGTATAGGAATTCCAAGTACAAGTTAATTTACTTTTTTTGTTTTAATAGATTTCTTGGTATTGTGATTCTATTTAATGGATTATGTTGTCAATTATATACATTAAAATTCTTAATATTTAATGCATTTTAGCATTAAATATTAAGGCGCCTTTTAATTATATTCATTATGAGTGTGGCCAGACCCATAGTGGGGCTACAGGGTGATGGGGCGGGCCAGATTTCCCTAAAAAATCATGGGGTTTCTCGACCGCTCGGATTCGTTTCCAGGTCCCCCAGAGCGGTCATCCGGCCGTCATATTTTTTATATGAATATCCTAAAACTCACGTTTTAGACAGTTAAATGTGGCTCTACTAGTTCTTTACAAATTCAGATTTTATCCTGTTGTTGACAAAGGATAATATAATTGGTGACAATACAAATGCATAATTATAAAATTCAAGGACATTATTATTTTATTCTAAGAGAATTTTATTCTGATAAGAATGAAACTGTTTTATTTGCATGTTAAACAGGAATAGAAATTGTATGATTAATGCAAATGCATATTACAAATGAATTTGTTTATTTTAATGTTGTGGTATTTTACACAGCGAATTTTACATTCAGTTAAGACGAAATTTTACTAAACAGGTGCAAAAAAAGCATGTTTTCGATGGACTTTGTTCTGAAATGTCACGAAATGAATCTCACGAGCCGCGATCATGACTGAAAAACGTGATGAAAATGCTTCTTCCACAATAGATTAACAATTATTTCAATGACAGGTGTTTTTCGTATGTTATCGAATAAATAACTGTGGTCTATGCGACGAGGCGAGATTTAACCAAGACTAAAACAAAAAACCGTACTTGGCATTGAGTTAATTTTATGAAACCAAAAAAAAACCTTTCTTGTTAAAATGTTTATTTGTGAAAACATTCTGTCTAGGTTTAAGTAATGTTTCAAAAAAAAGCAGGACAAACAGGTTAAAATACAGGTTTCTATTGTGGTCCTAACGTCCTGTTAGTGTTTGAAAGTGGATAAAAATGGGACAGGTATCGAGGTCAAATTGTGGCATTTATCAAGAGACCATGTTGTTGTAATGAGAAGAAAATTTGTTGTTATGCTTCAAGTAAAAAAAAGAAAAAAAAACAACTTTTATACTTAATTGTCCATATTATATATAGTCTTGCATTAGTATCAAGTGGTAGCAAACTTTTAAATGCCAATCTCGAATTCTTTCTATTTTATAAGTTAATTTATTAGGCTTTATCTAAACTTATAAATAATTTAATCTTTTAATTTTAAAAAATTGTTCTAAAACAATATTAAACCTTCTTCAAGGAATTAAGAAAGTTTTTATTTATTCAAAATTAAATAGATTTTTGAATATTTTATTATATAACAGAATACAATTAAATTATATATCTGATAGCCAATACAAAAAAAAAACCTATCAAAGAAAAGGAATTATTTTTTATTACTATTATTATTATTTCCATCGCATGGGGATGAGGAAAAGTATTAATTACCATTAAGTTTAATAGTAAAAATTATGATTGATAAACAATCAAGTATGAAATAGTTCTATTTAATTTTATTTTGGGTGGAGTATTTTATCTTATTCTACTTTCCATTCATTTGTTCATTAATTGCGAAACTTTTTCAAGGTTTTTATTAAACTCAATCTATCATTCCATAATTAAAGTAAAACGGTTTTACGCAATCGTTAGATTTATCTGTCAATTTTTCGAGGTATCAAAAATTAATTGTTTTAAAGATTAAGAAATATTCGTACCTTATGAAGACATTCCATGAGTTTTTCCATTAGAGAATTAAAATTTATTGTAACAACTGCATTGGCTTAAATTTGCATAGAATATGAAGTTTAAATTAGTTTTAAGGTAATTATATTATTATATCTCTTTTTGCATATTATTTTAAACTATTGTATATAGAGCTTGATCGAACGATTTTATAAATATTAAATCTAGGACTTGAGAGAGGTAAAATAGGGCATAAGTCATCCCCATCTCTCCGAAATTCATAAAAATATATAAATAAATCAAAAGAAACTTTAATTTATACCACTATTTAGTCTATTACCCTTTTGGTGCCCTTTTATCTGCATCTGTTTAAATCTAATTTTATAGTATACAAAATGTAATTCTATGTTATATGACTTATATTATGTGGAATTTATATTATTTTAAATATTAAATATAAATTTGTAGTATTTAAAAAGTATTTTAAGATAAATTTATTTCTATATGATGTCTGTTATTTAAAACAAACCTTATCCTCGTACTTAGAAGGATAATAATTTAAAAAATAAATTCTTAGAAAAAATATTTTCTACGGTATTTAATACACTAAAAATAAATTAAAGTTGATAATAAAAATTACTTTCACATAGATTTAAATGATAATTAGATAATAAAAGGTAATTTTTAAGGCATTTTCCGAATTAGTGATATAAATCTTGTAAGTAATTATCCCATTGACCTTCGTAGGATCCTTCATTAATCTATATTTATAGCTTTAGATTATTAAACACCCGTAAACAAGTTTTTTAAAACCATTAGCAAACATAAATTCTTAATAGTTTTCCCTTCAAAAATTGATCTGTATTTATGAAATCTTTTAAATTATACTGTCACCAACAAACTTCTATTGATTTGCGTGTGAAATATGTACAAATATACATTAAATAGTCTATAAATATATAAAAAATAATTGTATTAAGTTTATACTTTGTATATGCTGTATATATATATTGTATCAATAATAATTATAAAATCGTTTAACTATTTTTCTATAGAGACTCAATAACAAGTCAAGTACAGTACTTGAACTAGTAGTGTGTATAGTTCAGGACATAGCCACTAGAGTGCGGGTATGAAATGGAACAAGCAAATAAAACTTCATACCCTGTGGAAACGGTTAGCTTTCCATCATCGAACCTGTTTAGGAGAAGTTACTTGATAGATCGAAAAGCATGGGATGGATACATTTCATCGTCTACTTTCTCCTAATAATAATCTGTTTAACAGGTAAACTCATTAATATACAAATCTTTATCTCATGTTAGTTATATAAAATCGATGCTGTGGATGTTGTTGACCTTCTCGATGTCGTCTAGACACTTTTAATGTTCTGTCTTCGTTTATTTCTAGATATTATTTATTAATTATTCATTAAATTTGTATATCTCTACTTGAAAGAAATCACTGAAGTGAGAAATCTCTTCCTTAATTTAATTGTTACTTAACTTTTCCTCTTGATACTATTACTTCTATATTTAGTAGGCTTTGAAGTTATTTTCGTGTAAATGTTTGTTGATTTTTTTTAAATATCATACTCGAATTTTCTTTTAATCTATGAATATTTAGTTTATAGACTTATTATTTGGTAGAAAAATGATTTTAAATATAAACTCTACAACTTGGGATAATTGTAATTTTTAATTTAATTTCTAATAAAATATTTAAATTTAATATTATATTTTTTTTTAATTTATTTTTTCAGAGATTAAATTTACTTATTTTATATCTTTAATAATGTATTTTCGCTTATTTATATCACTTTTGTGGTATTTTACACAGCGAATTTTACATTCAGTTAAGACGAAATTTTACTAAACAGGTGCAAAAAAAGCATGTTTTCGATGGACTTTGTTCTGAAATGTCACGAAATGAATCTCACGAGCCGCGATCATGACTGAAAAACGTGATGAAAATGCTTCTTCCACAATAGATTAACAATTATTTCAATGACAGGTGTTTTTCGTATGTTATCGAATAAATAACTGTGGTCTATGCGACGAGGCGAGATTTAACCAAGACTAAAACAAAAAACCGTACTTGGCATTGAGTTAATTTTATGAAACCAAAAAAAAACCTTTCTTGTTAAAATGTTTATTTGTGAAAACATTCTGTCTAGGTTTAAGTAATGTTTCAAAAAAAAGCAGGACAAACAGGTTAAAATACAGGTTTCTATTGTGGTCCTAACGTCCTGTTAGTGTTTGAAAGTGGATAAAAATGGGACAGGTATCGAGGTCAAATTGTGGCATTTATCAAGAGACCATGTTGTTGTAATGAGAAGAAAATTTGTTGTTATGCTTCAAGTAAAAAAAAGAAAAAAAAAACAACTTTAATACTTAATTGTCCATATTATATATAGTCTTGCATTAGTATCAAGTGGTAGCAAACTTTTAAATGCCAATCTCGAATTCTTTCTATTTTATAAGTTAATTTATTAGGCTTTATCTAAACTTATAAATAATTTAATCTTTTAATTTTAAAAAATTGTTCTAAAACAATATTAAACCTTCTTCAAGGAATTAAGAAAGTTTTTATTTATTCAAAATTAAATAGATTTTTGAATATTTTATTATATAACAGAATACAATTAAATTATATATCTGATAGCCAATACAAAAAAAAACCTATCAAAGAAAAGGAATTATTTTTTAAGACTGGTTTTTCACCCTTTCAAAATGAAACCTAATTCTGTCAGAACGAGAATAGGAATTGTTAATGTAAAGTTTCTGAAGTCTGACATGACTTATGAAATTAATTTGAAGTCATAAATGTAATAATTTCATGCATAATTAATATCAAATACAATCAAACCTCTGAACAACGGCCATTGACGAGAACGTAAAAAAATGGCCGTTGTTTGGAGGTTATATTGTAAGCGTTTTCGTTTAACGTTTCTGATAAAAGTGGCCGTCATTTTTAATTTTTTTTTAATCGTGGAATAAGCTTTGAGATACATTATAATTTATTTTAGAATTTCACATTTTTCTCTTTGAAAAATTCTTTCCTTTTAAACTCATTTTACTGCCATCGATTGTAACAAATATTATGACCCGAAATCTTTATCTAAATTGGAATCTGTCAATTATTCTTATAGATAAAAGAATAAAATATTGAAACTATTATTTGATTATGAGGAAGAATAAGTGATAACTCATCCTAAAAGAAAAAAGTATGTCGTACGGTGTTAAGTTTAGATTTGTATTACAAAGGTGTGCCACTTAACTTATATCTTGTGGTCAACGACCGTTTGTTAGCAGCGTTAATAAACCGAGAAGGCCTCTTCTATGCTTCTTATTAATGTTTAATAAATAACCTAAGTTTCTTGATACATGCAAGAAATAGAAGACGGTTTAAAGAATAATTTTCTGTTTTTGTTTGCGCTCATATCGTCGTACATATTTATAGACCTATATAACCTATTCCATTGACCTTATAAGCTTTA